CCCCCCCCCTGAAGCCCGCAAACTCTCAACCCAAAGACCCTGCGGGATTTAGGAGCTTAGGACTTCGTGCTTTCTCGGCTTCGTCGGGTTTGGAGTTTATAATAGGGTTTTGGGTGTAGAGCATTATGCCTTTTGAGTCCAGGGTTCTGGGCTCCAGGTCGAGGCGACAGGCTGTGGGATTAAGAGCATGGGATGTTCCTGCTCTTTCCATGTCGATGTTCGTGGTGGTGCAAGACGAAACCTGGAGGCCCTAACAACAGAGAAATACAAACCACTAAACCCGAGACATCTACACCCACATAATCCATCCTTAAGCCCCGAATGTTAAATCCTAAACCCTAAACCTGGCTCCTTTTGAAGCTGCCCTTCGGCAGTCGGGTTAGGACGGACGGCGTCCCAAATGCCGCCAGATGCAAGGCAAACCTCTCCGTGTAAGGTATTTAGGGCTTAGGGGTTTAGGGTTTAGGGTTTAGGGTTTAGGGGTTTGAGGTTTAAGGGGTAAGGGTTTCTGAGGGGGCTTGGTAGTGTTTGATTCAGGATTCTTTCGGGCTCCTGATGGATTTTAATCGGCAATTCAATGAACCTCCTCCTCATGCCGCGCTACCGGAAGGTTGCTGGTTTGCTGATGATGACGACGACTTTAGAAGTAGTCATGTTGGTGTCAGTCTAAGAAATAGGGTGACCATTAAAACTATTTGGAGCCGAAAATCCCCCAACAAAAACAAGGAACCGGTCGAGCCAAAACGGAAGAGAGCCCTAGACCCGAAACCCAGCTGGCAACGAGCAGGTGCAGCTCTTCAGACACCTTCTACTGGGTGTTTCCGAAAATAGGGGACCCGAATATAGTACCCTAAAATAGTAGGATCCTTATTATAGGGACCCCCAAATAAGGTACCCTACTTTTCGGAAACTCCCATATACGGCTGACCCTAGACCCGGCTACGGATTCTTTATTGTGACCCCAAGACCCCAGACCCCACCCAGGAGTCCTGCCGGCAAAACAATTTCCGGAGGGGGCATATATTAATGCGACCCCAACATTACGCTTTGCGCCCCTCCATCTTACTACAGTTGCAGTATGTGCCGCGGCATCGGGTGGCCCTTGTTGCACATCAAGTGCCGCACAGTGTGAGGACAACACTGATTGTAAAAGACCCTTCAACTTAGCAGCCTTGCATTTGGCCCTGCAGCACTGCACTTCGGCAGTCCTGTCCAAAGCCCAGGGGGTTCAACCCCAGAAACAGGTCTTGCGGCCATGACAAACAGCTCTGCTATCAGTTGCAGCAACGTTGTCACCTTATCGCTTGCATATGTGTCTGCGTATTTGTGCGTATAAAAACATATAAGTACACAGACACACACACACACACACCTATATTTACATGTATATATATATATATATGACTCTGTGTGTGTATATACTTTGACGGCTTACTTGTGAAATCATGGGTCGTTACTTCCATGAGGAGACGTGCACAAAGCTGTTCCGGGTGCAATCGAACCCTCTGGGGGAGGCATGTGAGCTGGCTGAAAGACTTGAAGTTTGGATGGTCCACCCAAGCCCTCTGTTCTCAGCAGGCAGTGGTCTTTACAGCTTTCGCTTCCAACAAAGCAAAGGACCCGGAATCTAGACCCCACGACAACAGGAAAACGTTGCTCGGCCCTACAAAAACCGCCAAAAAACCTGTAAAGCCCACGATTTCGACGTCAGGGCTGCGTATTTCAAGTTGGGGGCCATTGCACGAACAGAAGCTCTTGGCCAGGCTTCCTCTTAACAAACTCCCTTCTTCAAGATCTTGATACCAGGATCCCACTACAATATTCCCTATTGTGGGCACCTGCTTTCTAATCAGATTCCTAGAACGGGCCTGTAGGGGTTCTATACTCCATGATTCAGGAATCTAGGGTTTCAAGGTCCCTAAACCCTAAATCCTAATCCCTAAACCCTAAACCCTGAACCCTAAACCCTAATCCCCAAACCCTGAACCCTGAACCCTGAACCCTGAACCCTAAACCCTAAACTCTAAACCCTGAACCAAGCTTAGGGGTTTCGGCCCTTCGGCTCCTGGGTTTGGGGTGGGGTTTAGGGTTTAGGGTTTAGGGTTTAGGGTTTAGGGTTTAGGGTTTAGGGTTTAGGGTTTAGGGTTTAGGGTTTAGGGGTGGAGCGGTTGAGGCTTCGGGGTTTCGGGGTTCGGGGGGCGAATGGGAGTCTCGGCTGCTTCAGGGTACCATTTTCGGGACTTACTTCTGAATTTTACATCATAACTATAGCAATAACAATCACAAAGGTAACCACTCTCTACTTTTGCTTTTTACTACCATGGGTATAATCAAAAAGAATACCATAACTTTAGCAATAAGAATCACAGTGATAACCACTCTCTACTTTTCCTACCGTGGGAATAATAAAAACAAACAATAACTTTGATAGTTGCTCTATAATGGGACTCGTCGTGGCGAGGTTCCTAAACCCTAAACCCTAAACCCTAAACCCTAAACCCTAAACCCTAAACCCTAAACCCTAAACCCGAGAACGGAGGCAGGCGAGATTCCACTGCAAGCAAAGAGCCGGAAGGAAATCCCCAAGGCCGGAGACCGATTGCAAAGCAACAACTTAAGAAACGATAGAAATGTGGCTCCTTTAAAGGCTCTCTAGGGTTTCCTGTTAAGGATTCTACAAGGGTTCTACTCTATGACTACAAAAAAAAAAGCAGAGGTTTGGGCTCAGGGTTTAGGGTTTAGGGTTTTTGGGGTTTGGGGTTCAGGGTTCAGGGTTTAGGGTTTGGGGTTTAGGGCTTAGGATTTTTAGGGTTTAGGGTTTAGGGCTTAGGGTTTAGGGTTTGGGGTCTAGGGGTTTGGGTTTGGGTTTAGGGTTTAGGGGTTTGGGGTTAGGGGGTTTGGGTTTGGGGTTTATAGGGTCAAATTATGAAGGCCCCTACACTAGAGACACCCTATTCTAATTATTAAGGCCCCTAATATAGAACCCTATTATGGATCCTTTAAAGAACCCTTTATAGAACCCTTTAAAGGAACCCCAAAAACCTTATTCTAATTATGAAGGCTCCTATACAGACAACAGCGCTCCGTGGGCCCCGTGGGAATTCCCTCTCCTTAGGAGGTCAGCCGGTACGGCGCTCGCCCCACGCATTTGCAAAAACTTTGAGAGCCGAAGTGAGGAATGCTCCCTATAGCTGGGTTTAGGGTTTAAGGTTTAGGCTTTAGGGTTTAAGGTTCAGGGTTTAGGGTTTAGGGCTTACTTAAAATCGTAGAGGAACCTTGATATGATTGCAAGCATCACTAATCCTGAACGTCTCAGGTCCTACGAAACCCCCCCATGCCGCGCTGCGCTCTCAGCGGCGCCGCAGCAGGCCTGTGATGCTTCCGCTGTCCAGCGACCGGAGACGCCTTTGCTCCGCGAGGTGGGAGTCCATCACCTCCCACATCTTTGAGTACAGCAGCACCCAGAGAACCCAATACCCCGTAAATAAGGAATATACCTTAAATTATAGGGGTCTTAATATTATGATTTAAGGTATATTCCTTAATTGAGGGGTATTGGGTTCTCTGGGTAGCTACAGGCAGAGAAGGCTTGATGGATGGAGTAGAGTATAACGCATAGTATAGCATCGTGAAGTGTAGTATAGTATGTTTATGTGGGGGCTATATTGACGGGGTTGTTCTTTTTTGGGGGCCCCCAACAGCGTTGTCGGAATAGGTACGCGTCTCAGACTCACATGTCATCTGGTTGAAGATCTCAGATGCCTGCAAGTGTTCTGCCACTGCAGTCACACATGGGTGGTTGTCAAAATTTTGGTCCCTTCTTGGATGCTTTTTATAATACGTCACCTATTATTTAGGGTACCCCAAAAAGGGACCATAATTTGACAACTACCCAGATATTACTGCTCCTACTGCTCTCTTCGGACTTGCTGCTACCCAACTATCCGCCTTGCTGACGTGATGGTACAACTGCCAGTGTTGCCACGACCAGCAATCTTTCCACAGTTCTTGCAACTTCTACTACGGCAAAAAAGACCGTAAGACAGAAACGGTTTGGGTTTAGGGTTTAGGGTATCATAAGCAGGACAACTCTACCGATATGGAACTAGTCGGGGCCAGCTTGCCACTCACATCGCAGCTATAACAAACGCAAAGCGGCAGTCATGATGGTGATGATCGTAAAGGTTGTTTTGGTGATAGACATTAGCACTAAATTATCAGGAGAAGCCACCTGCACATACACACACAGCAAAACCCTACCTCATAAAACCTAAACCCTAAACCCTGAACCCTAAACCCTAAACCCCAAACCCTAAACCCTACCTCCTAAACCTACCTCCTAGAACCTAGACCTAATACGCCAAAGATACCTAATGAAGCTCCATCGACAAGAATCGCTGCACAACCCGAAATATGCACACAAAACGAGGAAGGGGGAAGCCCCTTGGACCTCCAGCACACGGGTCATGTTGTCTTCGAAGGTCCGTAGGGACCTCCATTTCGAGAGGAACTTTTGTGGGGCGGCCTTGACAATAATTAGAATCGGGTTTGGGGGATATATAGTGTTAACCCTAAGGAATATTTCAGGTAATG